AGGGCCTTTTTGCCCAATTTTATTTACAGAAAATGTCCCAGAACATAAAGCTTCCCACGCAGGGGTTTCCACCATCACACAAATTAAACAACGATTCAGCCTTCTGGCTTACACACAGTTCAATGTCTGTCTCCTGCAGACTCTTCCCAAATTATAGCCACTAGCACACAGCTAGTCTGGCTTCCACCTGACTCCAAGTACTTAGTACAGCAGAGACCTCCCATCTGCCAGGGTGGAGCCCTGCTGACTCCTAGCTGCCGGGGTGGAGCCCTGCTGACTCCTAGCTGCCGGGGTGGAGCCCAGAACCCTGGTCCTGACTCTATGAAGAGGCCTGCACACACTCTGTGCCATCAGTCTCCTGGCCATTCCCAAAACCTGGTCCCAGGATTGGAGATTTCATCCCTCCCAGATCTCTTTGAAATCTCCAGGCTCCAGATCCCAAAACAGACCTTACAAACAAAGGAGGAAAGTGAAAAGCCACTCTCCTCCGTATCAAACACTTACCCTGGAGCCCCTCAACCTGCCTAGTTGAGAATCCTGGGTGACAGATCGTCAGTCACACACTGTCACAGTGTGAACAAATTTAAGTTCTTTGACTGCCACGATGTAGCCACTCCATGCATATGTGTTATCACATTCTGCATGCCTTTCCCAATTCACAGTCAAGCAATTAGGTTGCAGAAAGACCTGGCAAAAAAGCTTTCAAGTTTATCAGACATGGTGCCCAGAAGGTTGGCCCATAGGATCATTGAGAGTCGAATATGACTAAATGGATATATACATACAATGAATGTCAATCACTTTGATACTTTATTTTATATTATTGCTACTTGTTTTTTCAGTTACAGCTGCAAAGTTCCACCCTAGTACCGAGCCTCTAACCTTGATAAAAGCAGTCATATGATCTACTTCGTCCTTAGATACTGGGGGAACAGTAGGTATACAGATTAACCATACCTGCACTATTTTCTCAGCATTAGTAGGGGTGAGGTAAGAAATTTCCTTCACTAGAGGTGAACATTTTCACCTTACCTCCTGACAAGAATGGCTGCACACCCTGTGCAACAGGTTCAGCCCACTAGGCACCTTCAGAGCAGATCTGTCCTACAAGTATGAAAAACACCTAATGGGGAACTAACCATACAAATATGATCCAACCCCTTCAGTCCTATAAACACAGAGGAGTCCATAACCAGATACTAAATTATAAGCAGTTTGCCAAGGATGGGGTCTATTGAGGAACACCCTGTGCAACTGTTCATCTTCATTGATACTAAATTATAAGCAGTTTGCCAAGGATGGGTCTATTGAGGAACTGTTCATCTATTGATATTCAATCCCTTTAGATAGAGACACGTTAAAAAATAAGAGCACTTTCGTAGTCCATAACTGAATACAACACAATTCTTCTGTCCTGAACAACACTGTTAATCCTTTCTGCTCTTCTGGGGCATGTGCATGGTTTCTTACCTACATCCAAAGCCATATTTAGACATCATGCTGCCCTAGCCACAGCTAAAGGATGACTCTTTTTTGTACAGTCTCTTCCCCATATTGTCCTATAATAATTTTAGTAAAAGCTTTTGTCAGAATTAACTACTGAAGGTAGCAAGCTATTGCTTAATAGGTGGAACTATTTTTCAGCTGTATAGACCACCAAACAAGAGAGAGAAGATATGGCTTTATGTGTACCCTGAACCTTAAAGATCTGTCAGCCCCTCTCAACACCCCTTACAGAAGCACTGTATATTTTAAGGCCTGGTGATGGCCCCATTACTCTGCTGTCCTAGGCACTGACCAATGATTATAGTACATACAGTTGTGCACATGCCCTCTCCCATACATTTAACAGAATCCAGCACCTGCACCATGCTGCAGATCAGGTAGCTGGGGTAAACAAGGTCTATAGCAAACTGGTCATTATTTTCTGTGAGACAGTGTGCAACAGACTCTGTTTTCTCAATATTCAGCTTAGGGCAGGCTCCCAATTCTAACCAGGGTTATGAAGTGCCACAGCTAGTAAACATTATGCCAGCCCCGGACTACACTGTGTTAATGCAGTTTTCTTCAGGACAAATGTACTATGCTGTATGCAGTCTTGGAGTTCACAAGTAAATTTCTATGGATGAGTGGTCCTCATTTAGGATTCAAGGGGATAAATCCAAGATGCTTATTGATACAGAGTAGTAAAGGGAAGGATGATGATCATTTGAAAAGCTCACTGACTTTGATTAGGTGGCTCACATGCAACAAGGGCTATCCTCATTATCACTTAAACCAGCAGTCTCTAATCTGTGACCCAGGGGCCGAATGCGGCCCTTTGCATACTTTTATCCGACTTGGGGCACTATTCCTTCCACTGACACCAGCAATTGAGCAATAAGTCCTGCACTGAAACCAACAGTGGGGCACTATTCCTTCCACTGACATCAATGATGGATCACTGTTCCTCTCACTGACACCAATGATGGGGTACTATTCCTCCCATTGACATCAATGATGGGGCACTATTCCTCCCAATGACACCAACAATGGGGTATTATTCCTTGCACTGACACCAATGATGGGGCACTATTCCTCTCACTGATACAAATAATGGGACACCATTTATTCCAATGACACCATCGATGGGGCACTATTCCCCCCACTGACACGAATAATGGGGCACTATTCCTCCCACTGATACCAATATTGAGGCACTTTTCCTACCACTGACATCAGTGATGGGCACTATTTCTCCCAATGACACCAATGATGGGGCATTATTTCTCTCAATGACACCAATGATGGGCCACTATTCCTCCCACTGACACCAACAATGGGGCACTAATATATCCCCTGATACCAAAGATGAGCACTGTTTACTCCTACTGATTCCAGGTCATTTTCTACTCCCATTGGCACAGGCTAGCCCCACTAAAGTTTGAAGCACAGTAAACAGGCCCTTTGTTTAGAAAGTTTGGAGGCCTCTGATTTAAACCATAACAAGGAGCACTAGACCAAATTCATAAAGTAATCCAAAACAGCCATAATGATTTACAAGACAGCCAGTGCATTTCAGAGGCAAAGCACACATTTCCTTCATCAGTGCACAGCAATATTTGCAAATGTTTGAATAGACATAGGGAACCAGATGCCAGCAAAACTGCTTGCAAGGGATTCAGATGGTGCAGAATTATACCAGTGACAACTACAACAAACCACTCATTGGGTTTGGTTTACTAAAGGCAAATAGACTATGCACTTTGCAAAGTGCAGTTGACCTCCGCAAGAGCAGTTGCTTCAGAACTTGTAAATGAGCAGAAGCTCTGCTGACTTCCACCATCCAGTCATGTGCAAACAAAATGCATTTTGTTTTACTTTTTCTAGCATGTGATTGGGTATTCTTTGCAAAGTGAAGCTTTACCTTATTTACTGAGCTCTGGAGCAACTGCACTTGCAGAATGCAACTGCACTTTTCATAGTGCACAATCTATTTGCCTTTAGTAAATCAACCCCAATGTGTCATGTTGCCAGTGACAGCTTCTTGATAATGGTGTTGTCCCCTAAAAAAAACTTTTTCTGTTCACTATTGATCCTTTTGATAAACAAAAAAAGTTGGAAATGTCTGAAATATTTTTTATGCTACACCCATTCTATGTGGACTCTCCCCAACATATGCAACTTTTGCTTGTGTTTCGTTTGCCAACACCGAGCTGGTAGCTTAAGCCTGGCATATTATGAACAATTGCTCTTCACGGACCTGTCTTACCCCATTTCCCACCAGCCCATTCTGGTGCTTCGATAGCAAAGACTGTTTTTCAACTGTGAGACATCAGGACCTGGCAGAAAAGAGCCAGTAATATGCCCTCAGTCTGGCAACATAATGATGTGTTTTAGCCAGCAAGTGGGTTTAGGAGCTGCTAAAGATAAAATACATGTCCAGAAATTGCACTACAGTGACAGGACAGCTAAGATGTAATTAGTGTTCTTGGTCTTTAAGGGACGTTGTCACAGAGCAGAGCAGCCTGATTAAGCTGTGCTGAAAGCAGCCTGACTCATGGCCACAAAATAGTTGTATGGCTTTGAAGCTAAACCACAAAATCTCTGTCCTAGAGCTAGTCTACAGCATATTGGGGAATGGTTGCTTCCATCACTGGCTTTACATGCATTTTCCTTGTGTTTGAGTCCCTTATAGACTTTTTTTTTTAAATGTTTTTGGGACTAAGGACATCTACTTATGATCTGGTGAGCCATCTGGTGTTTTATACCTTTATTCGTAAGCTTCAACTCCCACACAAATAACTGCAATATGAAAACAGTCCTATATATTATTTAATTCCTATAATTATTACAATCTGATATAATATATACTATAGTTTTACAGGGTATTTAGAACCATATGCTTTAGTACCTGCCCCAGAACAGCTTTTGTCTAATGTCTCCAACATGCTAATACATACCCTTACTCATATGTAGGTGTGCACCTTGGCTGATATGGTCAGAAGCCTATGGCAGCAGCAATGAGCAGAAAATATATAGGCCCAGAGGGGAAATTCCAACTTTTTTTATTGCAATGCCTCCAAAAGTTAATGGACAAACAAAGCCATTATACAAGGTTAATGGACAAACAAATTGTTAGGATGGTCATAAACAGCCCAATTATAAGAAGAGTTGTTTCCGATTTAGTGCAACGCTTGTGATAAGTGGTCCATTTATGGACTCTTGGAGGGGCAATAGTGCCTCTAGCAGACAGACAGGCTTGATACTGCATTGGGAATATCTCCCAGTACATTGGCCTAATTCATAGCTGTACAGAAAACGTAATGACTGTGAGAAGAATACACCACTGTCAGTTAACAGTGGCAGAACCAGATAAACTGATGGCTCATTCAAGACTAGACCATTATTTTATTGCTCATCATTCTTGGATAAACACAATTTATCTGGTAACCTTATCCTTTACTTTATCTCTTGTAGATCTCCGGTATACGCACAGGACATTGACATACAAAAGCTGAATGGAAAAGCTTCCAAAGGTGAGGCAAATATGTGTCGTGTTGCATTAATTTATAATTTGTTTAAAAAAGGATGACCATACAGGGTTATGCAGGCCATAGACAGGTCAAAAATCGTCCGGTTTTAAAAAAAAAAAAAAAAAAAATGAAAAATCAGTCGTTCAATTGGCCGACGTTACCACTAACGGTAAAAAAATAGGCCGATTTTTGTCCCGACTACGGCCGGAATTTTTACTTCTGTCCCTTGCAGAGAGATCCGCCATTATATTTTATATTTTATATGAAAAGTCTTGCGGTTGCAACAATCTATCCATTTGTATCCATTTCGGATACAGATGTTTTTATTCGGATACAAATAGATACATTGTTGCAACCGCAAGACTTTTCATATAAAATATAATAGCGAACTGGAATTCTTCTTCTTCTTTTTCTTCTTCTTTTTCTTCTTCTTGCAGGTCATGGCTCATGCGCAGATTTTTTATCGGTAAAATGATCGGCCGATTTTCCCATCATTGCCAGGAAAATCGGCCGATCGTCAAAATCCAACTTTAGTGATAAAAAAATGTGCTCGAAAAACGGCCGACCAATTAACCCACTAACGGTGCGAAAATCGGCTGATTTTTTTTTTTCGGCCGAGAAAAACGGCCGATTTTCGACCCGTCTATGGCCTGCATTAGTATAACTAACAGATTTCACATCCACACAAAGGAGGTAGATGGAGGAATTCCCCAGCTGGGACATTATATTCTGACAGCTGCACCTGTGGATGTCAGAATACACTGAACAGTGGCTGCAGCTAACTGGCAATGTGCATGAAATTGGTTTATGGTGACATCTGAGTGCATGTAGATCTTGGAGCAAGAGACCAGGTTGAGCATTTTGGTGCCTTATGAGATAGGTGCAGGTCAGTATTAATGCTTGTATTAAGGATAACGGTATGGTAGGGGTTATAGTTTAGTTCAACTTAACACCCCAATCACATCGGGTGCGATTGTCATGCAATTTGCATGCCGTGCGACTTGCCAATCGTATGCCAAGTCGCTCCCTATTGTTCACTATTACAGCGGTCATATCGTTGCGGTTCCGACTTGGTCGGAGCCGCACCGATTTCTAAAGTAGTGCATGCACTACTTTTGTTGCGATTTGCATAGACATCTGTGTCAGATGTCTTGCAAATCGCAACTGAAATCAGCAGGTCACCCGATTTTTTAAATTGTGCAACTTCACTGCAAGTTTCACGATTTCAAAATCGGCTTTGATGTGGCCGGGGGCTTAATGGGGCAAGTGAAGGGATTAGGTTGTTATTTTAGATGTAGCATTAGGGGTTATTTTAGATTGGAGTTCAAGGTTGTTATGCACATGTTAAAATTACTCTGTACTACTGAAAAATACATTAACGCAAAGCTGTAGGTTGGTAACAGACAGCATACATTTTTCAGGGGGCTGGGCCCATGATGGATACAAGTGACAGTCCCCTCTGCCTCCAGTCTAATGGTTGATGACTAAGCAGTGCAGGGGAGGGATCCTTAAACTTTATTTCCACTTTTGTAGCCAAATGGGATAATGCCTACTTTAACCCCTTCGTGCCTAAGAGTAAAACAAATCTAAACACCCAAACACTAACCCTGACACTGACCTAGATCAAACCTTGATCTAGGTATTTTTATTATTATTTTATTTTTTTTTATAATGTATCTCTCTCCTCCACACACACTTTTTTTTGTCTCTGATAGGACAGAGAGAGATATAATGTATCTCTCTCCTCCAGAGAGAGAAAACACGGGGGCAGGTTTCACAGTGACTGATCACTGTGATAGCCAATCAGAGGCTATCACGGTGGTCAGGTGACCCGGAATCAGGTGTTCCAGGTGTCATCTACGAGTACATTGTACTCTCGTGAGGACTTCTCTGTGTAAAGCCGATGTTGGACTCAGTCGCAGATATTGCAATACGTTAGTCGTAAAGGTGTTTAGAATGCTTACATACAGTAGTTGCAAGTGTCATTACTACGAGACCTTGTACTCTCAGTGAGACCCTGGTCTCTGTGCTGGGAGCGCACAATGCAGCGCATTCCCAGAATAATTATTAATTAATACATACTGGCAAAATTCATAAAATATAATTAATAATTCCCAGATACGCAAATTAGTGGCCCCACGGAAAAAAGCCCAGTCTGGTGGAGTCGCATATTTGCCTACGTTAGTCGTGAAGGTGTTAAATGTAACATATTCCCATTCTTATAGCATAGCATAAACAAAATTGTGGCTTACCTTTTTTAGATGCTCTGTTCTGGACCCTTCTGTAAGTAAGGTATTTTTTTCTTTTTTTTCTTATGAAGGGGCTGAGCAATTGTGAGCAATATGCCATAATTAACCCTGTCTGTACTGTGCAGATCTCCATTACCAATTGTAACTAGATTTGAACACTGTCTGTCCTAACAATGGGTTAAAGGTCTAGAGGCTGGACATCTTGCATTGTATGTTAATAAAGACAGACTTGGGACAGGCTCATACTAACATTGTTCAAGAAACCTTGCAGTCAGCCATGACACCTCTTCCTGAAAATGTAAGTTAAAAAAAATGCATACTGTGTGAATAGAACACCTTACATACATATAGCGGGGGGTTCTCAAATTTGACTGCAAAAGTAGAAATGTGTTTTAAAATTTTTCAAGGCCAGCTTACCATATGGAAAATATCAGCAATTAGCAAACAAACAAGACCTTTCAAGCTATCCAATAACTGTTTCCTTGGTCACTAATGTCTGCAGGTGCTCAATGACATTAGTTAAAAATTAGTTCAAGATTCAAACCATGCTGATTGTACCCAATTCGATTGTTGTACAACTTGGGTACAACCAGCCTGTCAAGTTTTGCATGCAATTATTGCCAGTGGCTATAGCCGCTAGCAATAATCACTGTGTTCTCCTGGCAGGGACAGCTCCCCACCCTGCCAGGATAACACACTAGCCCCACGGGAGGGATTCCCCCATCAACACTGACTGCGCAGCAAAGAAAATCACATTGTCTATCGCCGCTTTTAGTCTCTCAGTCAGGCTAAAAAATACCAGATCCTCAAAATGTCTTCAAATTATTACTGGCGCTTAAACTGTCATCAGAAAAATGACAACTAGGATGTGACTGCTTTCCACAAACACAATAATCAATAACATCATTTTCATTCCATAAATGAATCCCATTGTGTTTAACAACTAGTATCTAATTATGCATATATGTATATCAGTATTGTTCTTTCTATTTCCAGACCCCACTTACGTCTCCTGGCAGTGTCACTTCCTCCAGAGGGCCCAGTGTACCGGGTTCCCCTTCTGCTATCACTGTGAGTCATTTGTTGGCTTTGGTCTTTCCACAACAATAGATATTAGGAAATTTATCCTTTACTTATGGTATGAAATCAAGTGAAACTGTTCATGACAGGCACCTCTCTGCACAAAGGACCACTATGCCCCCTTATCTTGTAGAAATGAAAGTCTATCTTCTAAAATTACAAGTTTTTAGGTAGACTATATTGGGGCTTAATAACTCAACTCCAGCCAAAAATGTTTTTGTTTTTTTGTTTTTTTAAATTAGCTGAGAAAGGTCAAAACATCCATCTGCTGTTAAATTGGTGTCTGTGTTAGAGTAATCCCCTCACTTCCTGCTGTCTCAGTGACAACACTTTGGTGTTAATGAAATTAACAACAGGTGCACTAGATGGGCAACAATGAGACGACCCCCAGAACAGGAATGCTTTTACAGGTGGAGGCCACTGACATTTTTTTCCTTCTCATTTTTTCTGATTGTTAGTCAGTAGTTTTACATTTGGCTAGGGTCAGTGTCACTACTGGTAGCATGAGGCGATACCTGGACCCTAAAGAGGTTGCACAGGCAGTCCAACTCCTCCAGGGTGGCACATCAATATGTGCCATTGCCAGACGGTTTGCTGTGTCTCCCAGCACAGTCTCAAGAGCATGGAGAAGATTCCAGGAGACAGGCAGTTACTCTAAGAGAGCTGGACAGGGCCATAGAAGGTCCTTAACCCATCAGCAGGACAGGTATCTGCTCCTTTGTGCAAGGAGGAACAGGATGAGCACTGCCAGAGCCTTACAAAATGACCTCCAGCAGGCCACTGGTGTGAATGTCTCTGACCAACACAATCAGAAACAGACTTCATGAGGGTGGTCTGAGGGCCCGACGTCCTCTAGTGGGCCCTGTGCTCACTGCCTGGCACCATAGCACCTTTCAAGTCCTCCCTACCTCTCCCTCTCTATCCTTCTCTTCTTTTGAGACTCACTGCATTTTGCTGTTTTCTCCCATTGCTCTGAGGATTGCAGTGATCTATTGGCCTCCTGGACCGGTGTCACGCTTTCCTAATGACTTCTCTGCCTGGCTACCTTACTTTCTCTCCTCTAAAATACCCACTATCATTCTTGGAGATTTTAACATCTCCATTAATGTGAACAACTCAGCTACATCTCAACTCTTCAACCTAACCTTATCTTTTGCCTTAACACGATGGCTACAGTCCTCACTGTGATGGGAATATATTAGACCTTGTTTTCTCCCATCTTTGCACTCCCTACAACCTCACAAACACCCCCCTTTCCTCTCTCTGATCACAATCTCATCACCTTCACAGTGTCCTCATCTTCAAACGCCTATCCCTCCAAGCAGCAAACAATTACCCGCAGAAGCCTTCACAACTTTAACCCTTCTCTTTTCCACTCTGCAACTGACCCCCTCTATTGCAAAATCTCTCCCCTGTCTTGCCCTGACCTGGCCACATCTGTCTACAACAGTTCGCTTTCATCCACACTAGACTCACTTGCTCCTCTAACTACATGAAGTATCAGACCCCGACCATTACAACCTTGGAAGACTGACAACAACAGAAATCTTAAGAGACATAATTGTGCTTTGGAGAGACTGTGGCGTAAAACCAAATCCCAGCAAGTATTCACCCTATATAAATCTGCTTTCTTAAAATATAATTCCTCCCTCCATGCTGCAAACAAGCCTACTTTGTCACTCTTATTAATACCTTGTCATCCAGTCCTCATCGTCTCTTCTCTGTTTTTAACTCTCTACTTTCTCCACCTCCACCCAGTAACTCACTCACTGCGTACGAGATTGCCAATCATTTCAAAAACAAGATTGATGCAATTCATAGGGGCATCTCCACTACACAGACACCTATCCCACTTAGCATTCCTTATTCTAAACCTCCCTCAACACTTTCCTCTTTTGTCCTTGCTACTACTGAAGAGCTCACTGAAGTTTCCTCAGAAGGCCATCTCACCACCTGCCCCCTGGATCCTGTTCCCTCACAATTACTACGGTCACCCTCTTCTTCTATCCTATGCTCCGTCACTCACATCTTCGATCTCTCCCTCTCTACTGGCGCCTTCCCCTCCCCTCTAAAGCATGCACAGATCACTCCCATACTTAAAAAGCCCTCACTCGACCCCACCAATCTGAACAACTTAAGACCCATCTCACTGCTCCTGTTTACCTCGAAACTCTTAGAACGCTTAGTCTACAATTTCCTGAGCTTTTACCTCACTGACAACAACCATCTTGAGCCTTTACAGTCTGGATTTCGCTCACTACACTACACTAAAACTCACTAATGATTTACTAACTGCTAAAACTAATGGTCACTACTCCATACTCTTACTATTTGACCTCTCTGTGGCTTTTGATACTGCTGACCATCCCCTCCTCCTCAAAAAACTCCACTCTCTTGGCCTCCGAGACTCTGCTCTCTCCTGGTTCTCCTCCTACCTATCGCAGCGCTCCTTCAGCGTTACCTATAACTCGGTCTTCTCCTCTCCTCTTTCTGTAGGGGTCCCTCAAGCTTCTGTCCTTGGACCCCTTCTCTTCTCCATCTACACCTCCTCCCTTGGTCACTTGATAAACTCCCATGGCTTTAGGTACCACCTCTATGCTGATGACACACAAATCTATCTTTCTACTCCTCACCTCACCCCTTCGGTCTCCTCTCGCATTACTAACCTACTAAGTGACATATCAGCATGGATGTCACTCCACTTCCTCAAACTAAATCTTTCTAAAATGGAGTTCATATTATTACCTCCAGCCCATGCCCCCTCCCTTGACTTCTCCATCAAGATCAATAATACAACCATCAGTCCCTCCCCTCCTGTCAGGGTACTAGGTGTAATCCTGGACTCCCATCTGTCCTTTCTGGTCCAAATCCAATCACTGTCCAAATCTTGTAGACTTCACCTTCGCAACATCTCTAAGATACACTTATTTTTAACTACTCAAACCACTAAGCAATTTATTCACTCCCTTGTTATCTCTTGCCTTGACTATTGTAACTCCCTCCTCATTGGCCTACCTAATTGCAGGCTATCCCCTCTTCAGTCTATTATGAATGCTGCTGCCAGACTCATCCACCTTACCAACCATTCCATATCTGCCATCCCTCTCTGCCAATCCTTCCACTGGCTTTCCATTGCCCAACGAATAAAATTCAAAATATTAACAATAACATATAAAGCTATTTATAACTCTGTCCCAAATTACATCACCAATCTTGTCTCCAAATATCACCCAAACCGTCCTCTCCGCTCCTCCCACAACCTCCTGCTCTCTAGCTCCCTTGTCTCCTCCTCCCATGCTCATCTCCAGGACTTCTCCAGAGCCTCCCCTATCCTCTGGAACTCTCTACCCCAATCTATCTGACTATTGCCTACTCTGCCCACTTTTAGGCAATCTCTGAAAACCTATCTCTTCAGGGAAGCCTATCCTGCATTTAGCTAATAACTGAATTTTCCATTTCCCCTATCAGTTCATCCCCTACAGTTAATACCTTTTGTACCACCAGCCCCTCCCTCTTAGATTGTAAACTCCAAGGAGCAGGGCCCTCCTAACCCTCTTGTATTGAACTGTATAATTGCTGTATTGCCTCCCTTTATATTGTAAAGCGCTGAGCAAACTGTTGGCGCTATATAAATCTTGTATAATAATAATAGAGCATGATTGGCATTTTCCATTAAACACCAGAATTGGCAGGTCCGCCACTGGTGACCTGTGCTTTTCACAGATGAGAGCAGGTTTACCCTGAGCACATGTGACAGACGTGGAAAGGTCTGGCGAAGCCGCAGAAAATGTTATGCTGCCTGTAACATCGTTCAGCATGACCGGTTTGGTGGTCGGTCAGTGATGGTCTGGGGAGGCATATCCATGGAAGGACACATAGACCTGTACAGGCTAGACAAAGGCCCCCTGACTGCTATTAGGTATCGGGATGAAATCCTTGAACCCATTGTCAGACCCTACGCTGGTGCAGTGGGTCCAGGGTTCCTCCTGGTGCACGACAATGCCCGGCCTCATGTGGCGAGAGTATGCAGGCAGTTCCTGAAGGATGAAGGAATTGATGCCATTGAATAGCCCCCCCATGCTCGCCTGACCTAAATCCAATTGAACACCTCTGGGATATCATGTTTCGGTCCATCCAAAGCCACCAGGTTGCACCTCAGACTGTCCAGGAGCTCAGTGATAGTCTGGTCCAGATCTGGGAGGAAATACCCCAGGACACCATCCCTCAGCTCATTGGGAGCATGCCCCGACATTGTCAGGCATGCATGCAAGCACATGGGGGCCATACAAACTACTGAGTACCATTTTGAATTGCTGCAATGAAATTTCAGCAAAATGGACTAGCCTGCTGCATCATTTTTTCACTTTGATTTTCGGAGTGTCTTTGAATTCAGTCCTCTGTAGGTTGATAATTTTCATTTCCATCAAACGATGGGGCATTCTTATGTTCCTAGAAATTTTGAAGGACCCTCTGCACACTGGTATATACCCTTTCAAGCAGACTGTGCAATAAATAGGGATATTTAGTTCACACATATTGCAATACATACTTAAGCTGGCCAACTGCGTCAAAGTAATCCCTCTATGGCCAGTCCTACTCTGCTCTGCCTACGCAAATGCTACTGTGGACACAATGCTAGCATAGGGGAAAAGACACAATGGGGAGAGCTACAAGGTTCAGGTCTGGCTACTGACCCAACAATACAACAAACAAGAGATTCCTGTGCTCAAATCCCAACAGCTAGTGCATGCATTTATCCATGTTATGTTCCTAACACATTACACATATCAGTAAAGATGTCCAGCATGCTATTTTTTTGTGCAGCGTACTTCATGAAGACTTGATTATTATAGAACTAAAGCCAAAACTTTTTGTTTGTTTGTTTTTGTCCCTTCAGGTGATGGTAGTGGAAGTTGTAAGAAAATCCCTTTGAAGTAAGGGAATATCTGGTTTTCATGCCAGGATCACTAGAACTAGTGTCCCCATTGCAA